CCCCCCAGTATTAGACCGTTGCCGTAGTAACGGTCCAACTCTCATATTTTTGAATAAAAACAAGCTTGCACTTTTATTTTCGACACGAAAAATATCGACGGAGAATGGACGAAGAAGAGCATTATTTGGTACATGTGAATATTATATTTATTCATCTTTGATTTTTGTTTTGATTACTGTATCATTCTTATTTAACGAGTAAAAAACAAAGTTTTGGAAGCCACTTCAGTGCTTGCTTGGCGACTGGCTGGTGAAAGAGCCGGCAAGAATGCTGCAGCGCATTGTATAAATAAAAAACTAAATACTGTATGCCATATAATAAATCCCTTATTAACCGAATACGTTCGGTCCGTACTGGAAAAATATCAGACCTCGGTCTTTTATGTACGGACCTCGCTATCGCTCGGTCTGTACTGTCAAGACCTCGGTCTGATATTTTTCTAGTACGGACCTCAAATTCGGTTAATAAGTGGTATGTAATGGACCGCGATCGCCATTACGATCGCCATTCCACAAAGGATGGCTTAGCCGATATTGTAATCGGTGTTGACAACCCGGAAATGCATTTCTTTATGGTGGGCGTTCAAGGTGTTGAGAGAGGACCTGTGGCACGTCTTGGTCCAGTTGGTTGGTCTTGTATTTGGCCTACTGGTAATAAACCTCGATCAGTTCCCAGATCCCAGATCGGTCCAGCCTTTTTTGAGTAACAAAACAACGGTTGGGACAGTCGTGATATCGGTTGTTGTGATTTAGATCGTACCCTAAAGAGTTTCTGGGAAGTTGAAGTTTCTGGCGTTGGATTTTCAGCAATACAAATTATGACAGAAGAAGAGAGCTGCTCTGGAGAAGGGTCGACGAGATCCACGCGGGCCCGAAACTCCAGCAAGATTTGTTTGACGTGCTATTGAGGTTTCGGCGCAACCCTGTAGCGGTGGCCAGTGATATTAAGGAAATGTATCAGCAGATCGTTATCGAGGAACGAGATCATCCGTACTACCGAATGCTATGGAGGGACCTGAGACCAGAACAAGACCCTGAAAAGTATGAATTCAGGAGTGTGGTGTTTAGGAAGAACTGCGCGCTAATGGAAGCACGATTTGTGGCGCAGAAAAATGCAAGAAAATAGCAGGAGAAGTATCCCCTGGCTGCAGAAACCGTTCTGAGGTCCACATACATGGACGATTCTCTGGACAGCGCTAAAGATGATGACGTCTTCTCCGATTCGCGACGTCTGTTAAGAAGAAGGAAGTTGTGATGTTAGTGGATGCATCGAGGAGACGGATGGCGCAGTCAGTTACCTCCGTAATGAGTATGAAAATGGTCAAATCACTTGCCGCATGAGCGCAGCAAAGTCGAAGGTCTCTCCCGGCACTCAATGCAACAACGACGCCAAGGCTCAAGCTTATTGCGCTGTCTTGGATTTGAGATTGGCGCAATCGCTCCATAAAGTCCTATGCCTCTCGATCCAAGAAGCGAGCTTCTATTTCGACAGCGAGGACGTGCTTTTGTGGATCCGGGGCAGAGGTAGAGATTTTAGGTCGTTTGTCGCAAATCGTGTGAGCGAAATCCAGAGCAGCACCAGCCCGTCCCAGTGATAACACGTTAAGACTGCCTGCACTCAAGGAGTTAGTCCGGTTCAACTGGCTGAAGATATGACTTGTTGGGAAGGTCCGGAATGGTTGAAGCAAAACAATGAGCACTTTCCAAAGGGGAAGCTGGAACATCAGCCTCGCAGCCCACCAAATCTGAAGCCCTCAAAGGTCAGCACTTCGTTCGCGACCGAAGTCCTCTGTACCACCGAAAGCGAAGACCGAAGGGCCAGTGACAGCTGAATGAAGAATGACACCAGAACGTTTCTCGGACTTGTCCAGATTGGTGCGGGTTCGCACGTGGGTAAGACTAGTGATTTTTAATATGCGTAACCCGAAAAAAGGCGAGGGGGTCCAGAGCTTACCGTCGATAAGCTTACTATCCAGCCGCCCAGAATTTGCTGAGCAATTATCCTATGATGCCAGGTTTCCGGTTATCCTTCCGAGGAGTAGTTGGGTTGCGAAAGGGTTGTAAAAGATTATCACCGAGCGGGCCAACCATACATGTGGAGTGAATTTCACTTACTCAGATATCTCAAAAACACTGGATCAGCGCTGGTAGCGAAGAGATTCGCAAATGGAAAAGCAATGCAACGGGGATAAACACCGGCAGAACCAGCCAGCTAGACCTTATTATTTAATTCGTTTGATTCTTCGTTCCTTACACGGCCGTAACGTAGGTTGGGAATATTCATACATTCATCTTACACCCGACTACTTTCTTTTGTACGCTATTGTTCCTGCAGTAGACAAACATGAATATATATGAATACGCCCCAATTAAGCGCTCTAGCTACGGCCTGACTTGCTTAGTCCATCAATTAAGTGTGTTGCACGAATGAGATCCTGACCGAAGGCTTTCGTTCCCACTGACGCATTATTAATATACTTATCATTAATCTACTTCACTGTGAAAAGGAAAATACTTTGGAACCAAGCCTTAAAATTATTAATGCATACCATAAACCTTTATAGCGGGTAGGCAGTATTCTGTTGCTCATCGTAATTTACTTGGATGGTCACAAATAGAGAGGGAACCAGCGTTTTTTTCTCATCTTACCTTATTCTTACCATATTCGTTCAGATAAAGCTCGTATCTCTCAGGAGGGCAGAGCAATGTTAGCCGTGAAAAAAGGACACGTTTTCTCGTTACTTTGAAAGCTGTGGGACCGGTGGCGGACCCAGGGTAAGTCAGATTAAATTACTACACCTGTAACTTGCAATCGTACTGGTAATTTTTTATCTAATCATATTGTATTGAAACTAATAACCATGCAATAGCCTTGTTATTAAGGACAGTTGAACTGGACTTCTCGTTCCTTGTTTATGAAATCGTGCATATAAAACCGGATAACGTACATACAGAGTGCTAAAATCCTTAAATAATATAAGAGATGTGTAAAAAATTAATGGCCACCACGCAATCATGAGGGTTTACTCGAATTTACATCGATTTCTATTTTATCTTCAGAATTCTATTTTTCATATCTTAAGAACGTAATTTAAACACCTGGAAATATTTTTAACAGATTACAGTAGCGGATCTGGGGGTGATCAGAATAAATTATTACAGCTTGAAATCGCAATCGCTTAAAATCCTAATAGATTTTTATTTAAAAATATCCTTTTCATTTTAAAAATATTAAGGTGTTTTGAATTCAAAATTTAGCTGTGTAATTTATTCTGACTACCCCCAGATCCGCCAGCGGCATATTATCAGTGCAAATGCTCCGCATCAACTTCACTTTATTTCTCGATCATCATCACTAACTTCTTCCTCCCGTGGGACCTCCTGGTAACTATGAACATCTTTAGCACAGAAGATATAAATAGTAAACACCGCCATCCAAGCCACAGTGACAACAGAGAAACCACAGAAACTTAATCTTGTACCAAATTCTTCAAAACAGATTCCAAAAACTGCGGAGCCAAGTTCCTTGCCAATTCCATGAAAAGTTAGGTTCACCACACCTGGAACAAAGTAATTTTTTTTATGTAACCCTCTTCCCCATTAAAGATTAAATAAATATATATTTTTTTTTTCTAAATTAAAGAAATGTATTCCTCAAAGTGCAGCTTCGTTCCAGGATGAAGAGGAAAATAGACAATTTACAGCAGTGATACCGGAGGGAGCCCGATCAATGCGATTGTCAATGCGGGTACCGCATACTATCTTGGGTGGCAACTCTCTCAAAAAATATAATGCATACATTAATACCATCGCTTGAAACACAAAAATTACGCTAGCTTCCTGACAAAAAACTAGTTACAAAACACCTTGGATTATTTCATAAATTTATCTGTCATTTTTAGACTTGAAAACAATTTAGGAATGCTTAAATTTTGCAAATAAAAAGTGTATTTCGATAAAAATACACATGATCAATTGACAGATAAATTTAGTAAATATATCCAAAGTGTTTTGTATCCAGTTTTTTTTAGGAACCTAGCGTAATTTTTGTGTTTCAAGCGATGGTATTAGTGTATGCATTATATTTTTTGTGAGAGGGTTGCCAGACTTAGGATAATCCCCGAGCCGGTGCGGAGCACCGTGCGAGGGTACTATAAATCCGCTCGGATATTTACACCCACGATGTGCAAATACGAAATCAAAGTCGTCCGCCATTATGCAATGGACCTCACGCCATGGACGGTCTTCTACGTTATGCGCATGCGCCAGTGTGAACTACTAAGCTCTTGATTGGTCGAGACAAAAATTTGTATTTTCAAACTGTCATTTAGCAAAATTTTGATGAAATTTATAAATTTATTTTTTATAAATGTGGAAAATATGTATTTTTACTAAATTAGGGGGAAACTCGAATGAGGTCAGGACTTTTCACGGTTTAACAAATAACAAGACCAAATTTTCCACCGAATTCACCGCGTAAAACGTAATAAATCGGATTTTACCCTTGGTAATAGGGAGCTTTAGCAGTGACTACGACCACAGATTAGCTATATACAGATATGAAACTGACGCCAAATCGAGTCACGTCGTTTTTTGCCCAATGTGCGCATGTGTAACTTGCTTGGCAAGTGTCATGTTGAAATGTAATGAGTAAATCGATAGAAAAATCAAATTTTTGACAAACAAATGCTGATTTAAACAAATCCTTTAGGGCGATGTCCCATTTCGCTTAAAATTTCTAAAAAGATAGATAAAGTGGATCTTCTGAGCTAAGAACTGGTTTATGAAATTATTTGATGCTGGCAAAAACTGGAAAAATATAGCTGAAGAGTGCAGGGCTTGCCGTATGGAAAGCTGTGCAATAAATTTACTGGCTGAGCTATTTTTGAGTTTAGAAAACATGTAATACATGCTTTAGATACAATATATCTCCAGAAGATAAAACGAAATGAATTAACAAATATCTAAGAATAATAGAAATGTGAAAACGAAATAATAAGAGTTTAAGGTGGCTACCTACAATTTTTTAAAATATTGAAAACTTGTGGTTTTGATTTAGAATTTTAGCACGAGATTTCTTGCTAAGGATGACGTCATTAGCGAAGGACACATATACCGACACTGTTTAAAAATTTATTCCAGAAATAAGCATAGGTAGCGAGAATTTTTAAAAAAGAAATTTTTCGTCTTAAAAACGGCGTTTTACTCATTAAATTCCCTCATGAGACTTGCCAAGCTCGCCGGAAGTCATCACGCGCTGGCTGCGCTTGGGACACAAAACAATGAGCAAAACACAGAAGTTTCATTTCTGTATATAGCTAATCTGTTTTACGAGTACGGCTACGCGTACGAGTAATACATTCGTCAATCTCGCGCGTTGTTTGCCTACGCCATCAGCCAAAACTCCAATCGCCATCAACAAAGTCGTTGGGCTTTTGATTACGAAATTTATCAAAAACTATTACTAACAGAGGTAGCTGACAAGAGCAAGCGTGGTTAATGTGTATATATGATGGTAATGCCGAGAATAGATTTATGCACAGCAGAATCGAACAGGGGCGGATCTAGCGAATTTCCTGACCGATGCATCTTTCATGGATAATGTCAAAGGCCCACTAGCGGGCCGGAGACATCTATCCCGGGAAATTTTAAGCCTAGGAATGCGAGACTCGAAAACGCGATTCCCTGCATTTAATTTGGCTGACTAGTTTCAAACATAGACATTCAAACATAGAAACCAACTCATGCATTCAAAGATTCATGACAAAACTACGTCCTAGCTTTTAAACATAAAGAGGTACTTCATAATACAATTTCAGGAGTTCATTTTAGAATCTTGCATAAACTGCAGTTTAGACATTGTAAAATCTTGAATTAAATAGTTGTTTGCAAAAGTAGTTGAAAGTCGAAAGTCAATACCAATTATCAAAATATTCAAATAATTTTTTCCATAAAGCTCAGAAGAAATAGGGCCTTTAATTATTCAACAAGAGTTGCACTAATTTCATTATTCAAAAAAGTATTTGAAAAATTTGAAAAAATTGATGTTTTGAAATAAGAGAGATCGAGTTATTGATCAATCTTAATAATGTTTATCAATATTTTTGTGAGTAGTACAAAGCTAGTTATTTAAATTTTAATTAAAAATATTGACAAAGTATTGTCTCCCTTTAGAAATAAAATATTTCCAAAACAACTAGGAAGGAACCACTTTTTAGAGCTTGCAAACTTTAGGCAAATATTCAAGTGTTTATGTCTTATTAATTGACTTTTTAGTTTTAGTCTGACAAACACTGATTGGGGCAGTGGGGCTAATTATGTTAATTTAATCAGCAAAGCTGGTGTAAATAATCTTTCTAATATAGAAGATATGCCAAGACTATGTAGTATCCTGCCTGGCCAAATCTTAAAAGCAAGGTCGATCTATTTATAAATGAGGTTGTATGCATGCAATCCTATAGTTTTGTTGTTCAAGAGTTACAACAATGAATACATCAATGAGTAATAAAAATATTCTTCACAATCAATTACTAGTGTATGTACTATGTACAGGCATTTAGGATTCCCATATTGTTGCAAAAGTTATTTCATCCCAAATAACTTTTATATTAATTATCCCAAGAATCTTAAAACTAAAGCAATGCAGTCCATTTGACTTACAGCAATAGTTGAGACTTGAGTTAATTTGAACTATATTAGGCAATTTAGTTATTTATAGACTAGCTGTGATTCACCAGTCTTTGGTGACCAAAACAGCCATGAGCAACCATAGCTAGAAGTTAAGGAATTTACACTGTCTAATTACCTGTATGGTAATTGGTAATGACCTAAACTGGACATCATTGATCATTCATTCCTAATAATTTTTGTGGCTGTTGTGTAGCATTATTAAACCAGAAAACAACTTAATTGTAATACCTCAAACTTGTCGTATTATCTTGACATCAGCTACACAAGTTACCTTATTTCGCACGCATAGTAATGGTGTAAGGTATAAATTATATACTGTGATTTCCATCATTAATAAAATAATGTAAATCACAGTTTATAATTTATACCTAGTCTAGTGACTCAAAGTCACTAGTGGTATAGTGGTCATAATAATAAGTGGTCATAGTAAGGTCTAGTGGTCATAATAATATGACCATTATTGGCATTTATTCAAAAATTGCTCTTATAACATAAGCTTTATATTAAACCTAAGCAACTTTAAATTTATACGCAATATCAACGAACTGGAGAACTGGCCAGAACCATTGAATATTCGAGAATAGAGATTATATTATTGACCCCAGGGGCATGTAGTCATTTCTTTATTTTGAAAAATTATGCGAGTACGTTACCGTTTGACCTCAAACTTTATTTTTCTTTCAATTTGAATAATGCCCTTATTTGCTGTTGTAATCATGACTTCGATAATGCGTGGGAGAGCAAATTCCATTATGCCAAAGCGATTTAGCGAAAGCTGTACGTCACAGTAGAATCTAAAACGAGGCTTGAAGCGAAAAGGTAGCAAAAAGCCCGCAATCTGCACGAGTGCATCGGTCGGCGGATTCAAATCTACCCTCAAAACAATGGAAACGTTTACGTCACGGTAGATTTCACGCGGAAAAGGACTCGGGACCGGTGCACTCACAGGTGCACAAATTTCCAAATCTACTCTCAAAACAATGGCAATGTGACGTAACAGTAGATTTCACGCGGAAAAGGACTCGGGACCGGTGCACTTAATTCACATCAGTGATTCACATGTGCTACTGTGTATTACGTAATGAAAAGTTATTTATATCCATGTTTAAGCCATTTTTGTCGCGAAATTATTCACGACGACTTGTCGAAAAACAAAAGAAAGTGCGAAATCATGTTTTGATCGCAAATATCGATAACTTGGCAATAATAATGAATTTAAATCGCTGGTTTGAAGTGATTAAAAATAGGTACGCAATGCGTACATGTGGGTAGCCTGTAAAACATTATTAACTGCGATAAAGCTGCTATAGTGGCAAGTAAATATCAACTGATGCAATAAAATATTATTTTCTAGTCTTATGTTCTAATGCCATAAACAAGGGATTAAACACCCTATAGTTAGCTAGTTGAATACAGTTATAACAAAGTCAATTTAGTACACAAGCTATATATTATAATATTTTATTGTATTAAATACATTTTAGACAGATCAAAACATACATAAGTATTTTTACAAGAGATAGGAAATGAAATTTTTTAAGTAGAATAGGTGAAGAGAACAAAAAAGAGAGTAAGGTTCCGGGATGGTGGCACACATCATCTGATAACATAAAGCTTAGTTAAGAAGGAGAAAAAGGATTCAGACTTTTTCAAATGATCATCGTTTTGATGTCCTTTGATTATCAGCATGTCTTTGTTACATACAAGATGGGTTATTTTGTTGATAAATCAATGTTATAGTTATGTTAATATTCAATAAAGGTTAAATGTTATTGTTCCAGTAAGATTATACCACTTGTTTTCCAAAGTTTATTGGCAATATGTTCACCATTATAACTGAAGATGATAGTATGATTTCATTGATCCAGTAATTTCATTGATACAGATGGTTTGCAATGTTGATTACAGATAACTTATCAGCATCAATTAGCTGGACATAATAGCACCAGTTCGTAGGTCGAAAAAATCTGTGTGGCTTTTTCCAAGTTTAAATTTATCAGTTGACAATATCTTATCACTGTGCTAATCAGTCCGACAATTAGTTAACATTGAATGCCATCATTCATCATTGATATAAATGTGTAAAAATTGTTTCAAACATATCAGCATAACAATTTCAAAGGGCTCATCTATGTATCTGAACAATATTTGAAAGATTTTTCTTCAGTTGAAATGCACTTGTGTTAAAAGTTTTGTTTTTTAAAAAAATATGTTTTGTTTATAGTTATGTTCAAATAAATGCTTCTTTTTAAACTCCAAAGCATTTGGTTTAATAGCTGCATGTCCACAAGCAAGAAATTGACAAGTGAAATATTGCATAGTATAATTTATAAAAAAGGGCAACTTGTTACTACTATTTGCCAAATTATAAGGTAATATATTTGGTTTAATAGCTGCATGTCCACAACCAAGAAATTGACAAGTGAAATAGTGCATTTTAATTTATAAAACAGGGCAACTTGTTACTACCATTTGCCAAATAAGGTAATGTTTTATTTATTTTCTATTAGTGTAACTTTGTAGTTGTAGATTCAACGCTCACCGATCACCGCTTTTTCGTCTTTAAAGTACTCGCCTTCGCTTTAAAATTTGACAAACGTATTAACGTGACTTCGATTGCTTCCGTCCTTCGAAAACAACGAAATTTTCCGGAAGTAGAAGAACCACCGTTCGTCATCTTTCGTATATCCGACGATTACCGAAGATGTGGCACCCACACACACACACAAACATCCGGACACTTTTTCGACTACATAGTGGTTAGCCGCGCATGCGCAGGCTACCCACAAAAACTCTGAGTTTATTCAAGGAGAGGTGTGATCACATTAGTTAGCTATCAGGTATTTTTATATGTGTATAATCTATACAAATATATATATCTGACCAAATTTCAATATCACAATTTTGACCGATGCATCTGCGTCCGTTGCACCGGTCTAGATCCGCCCCTGGAATCGAATGATGAAATAAAAATCGTATTTCACTCGGTAAATTAATCTCATTACGATGTTTATCACGTGTGAAAAAATGCCATGCACGGCTTTTGATTGGACGTACGATATTCTTCACACGTGGGGAATGTCATTTTGCCGGAAATTTTTTTACATTTTCTTTCAAGATGGCGTCGAAATAAAATTATGGGAGTGAGATTGAAAACATAATCCTCATATTCAAGATCTTTTCACATTCAGCAAATCCTCAAATCTTTCGGACAGAATATCTAACTTCTTTTGATCAATTTTATAAAGAAACTGAACGGTAATAAATATGTTTTGATGCATAAAATTTTGATTAATGTTGCATGCTCGCTGTGTTTTTTAAAGCGTGCCGTTGTCAAATTGATCTCTATACACATTTATAATAAACAAATTACTTGATGGTTGGCTCGTTTGTACGATTTTTATAATGAAAAGCTCGTTGTGAAGGATCGCAACGAGGATCGCATCGGGCTATCTTTAAAAGGGGGAACGGGAAATCGGGGAATCGGGGAATGGGGAATCGGGGAATCGGGGAATCGGGGAATGGGGAAATCGGGGAATCGGGGAATGGAGGAATTGGGAAATCACGATTCTATGTCTAAATCGTGATATTTTATTATTATTAAATACTTTTTACAAACAATAGCCTTTCAGCTTATTAATTCGGCTGCTTTTAAATGGGTTGTTTTCTAACGAAATAATACTATGACTAATACCCACACTTTTCTTTTTGTGAGCTTGCTCCTTCCGTCTCCACACAGAGCAGAGGGTTATTCGTGAGGTTATTTGTGAAGTTATTCAAATTTGTTCTAAATATCTGGAAGACCTTCAGTTCTAGCATGCATTAATTAAGAATAAGCCATGGAACGGGAAAGCAAACCAGTCGTATTAAAGGCTATGTAGCCTAGGCTTGGAAGTTGGAACCACCCTATTGATGGTGCTGCAAAAGGCCACCTGGTACAATTTAACTGTGAAAAGAACTATTTTGCAGTGTGTAAACACCATCAATGTCTACTCAAATCAAAGTTCGCTAGTTCAGTTCTAGTTTACAAGCAGATTCAGCTTTATTCAAACGGCTTTTTATCCCCTCTGAGAACCGCTTTTCAGGCTATTCTTATCCTTTATCGCGTTTTTTATCTCAATGAGTCGCATTTTTCCTTTATCTCATTTTCAGTTTCCCCGATTCCCCGATTCCCCTATTCCCCGATTCCCCGATTCCCCCATTCCCCGATTCCCCGATTCCCCCATTCCCCGATTCCCCTATTTCCCGATTCCCCCCTTCCCCGATTCCCCGATTTCCCCATTCCCCGAATCCCCGATTCCCCGTTCCCCCTTTTAAAGATAGCCGATCGCATCGTACGCACTCGCCAACCATAAAGTAATCTCCATATATGCACCCCAAATTAAGCTTCCACCTCCTTAAAAATATTAACATAAAAATTGCATATCAATTTTTCCTCTAGAATAAGAACATTAAATTTGCTTGCCTAAACCACAAAATTGACATTAATAGAATTTAGCTCATCATGAAAAAAAGCAGGCGATGCCTTTCATTCTGCTTCTTGAAAAGTGAATCCTAGGCATGCTTCACCCGGAAATAATCGGGGAAATAACCGCGAGCATAAACCATGCAGCATCCGTTCAATTTTGCCCCAAAATAATACCATACATGGCGTATAAAAATCACTGATAGGATTCTGCTCACCTTGAAAAAAAGCAGACGATGCCTTTGATCCCGCTTTTGAAAAGTGAATTACCAAAGACGCATAAGTTAGGACAAACGAAACAGACTGAAAACTATCGAGGAATATCACCAGCCAAGCATTTTCAGTAAACGCTAGACCAGCAAACGAGGCGGCAAATAGAAACAGTGAAATTGCTATGACATACAATTCGCCAAGTTTTCCAATGATAACACGGGATATGATGTACCAAACACCAACTAGAAGCCGTCTGAGTAAACCACCAACTGCCATTACAACCGGCGTGCCGCCCAAGTGCCGCATGTACCAAAATTCCCAACGCAATTGAAACGCAGTACAGAAACCTGCATGCGCGCAAATGAACAGGACAAGAATATAATGAGGTTTTGACAAGACCGACTTGACTTCTTCATAATCCACCACCCGTTTTTCAAGATACTCGTATTCTAACCAAGGCAAAGAAATTAAAGTCATACACTGTACCGCAGCCGCGTAGAAAAAAACAACGTAATAACTTGGGACTTCTTTCCCGCAGACCAAATGGGGTATGTGGCCTGCCAACGTTCCAACAATGAAGAGCGAAATTCCGGCGCCAATTTCACCCCAAAATGCATAAAATCCAAATTTTGATTTATCTTGCTTAACATGTGTCACAGCGGCGACAGTAATTAATGTAACAGAAAGTCGTTTAACCAGTTCGAAAAAACCACGCAAGAAAAGTATAATCAAAAAGAATTTTACCATATCGCCGTCGTATTTCGTCTCGCTATTCCCCAAAGGATTTTCGACATTTTTTTCAGCAGATGATGCGTTCATTACAGAATTATGAACAATACTGGAGTTTCCGAATGATTCTGTGATATTTCCCGATGATGATTCTTCGCAGGTTAAATCAGGCGCTTTCGGTGCCAGAAACAGCAAGGTGCTGGGAATCGACAAAAGGATACATATAAGCAGCAGGTGCTTCCTCATGCGAAATTTGTCAGACAAATATCCTGCGATCGGTATTCCTATCACTTGAGTGACGAAACCAAGCACAGGGACCAAACCGACATAAGTTGTGCTGTATCCTAATTGTGCCATGAATAAGGGCATGTATTCAGCGATCGTTGCCACACATGAACGAAAC